TGCAAGTCGATGGTGTGCTGCGTTCTCATTCTCTTTACGCAATCGGATGTAAATAGCTTTAGGATGAGATGCAGCCCTGTCAACTCTACTGGCTGTATCAACTGTATTTTTGTTGGCTGTAATGGTAATACAGTCAGCTAACACCCATCTATACCTACACAGTAGGCACGTGAAATTCAGGTGTGCTGAAACTCATCGTTACAGGCAATCACTGAAAGTCTCCGTGATTTCAGCAGAACTAGGATTTCTGCCATCATTTGTAAGGGTTGCAGTTAGTCCTGCACTCTTGGGAAATGGAAAACTTGGGATCTACTGGTTCTAGTTTAGTAACTGCGTAGTATAAATGGGCAACTTAGGTGTATTTTCAGCGGAAGCCTTTGCAGCCTACAAAATAAAAAACGCTTGGTCAAAATATGGTTGCATTTAATTATATCTTCTAGGTAGTATTTTTTGGGGTTGCGTTTGTACTGCTTCAGCACTCCTGTTGCAGTATATTGAAGATTTGGATGACTGACATGCAAGAGCAGACTATATAATTTACAAAGAATGGATCTACATTCAATAAACCATTAAATGGTGAAGATTCTTTATCTTCTATTCAGTAAAACTGTGATTTGCAGACTGCTGAAGTTATGGGACCTGTTCCAATGATTACAGAATTTTGGACCAACCTTAGAAGTTTTGTGCTCAGAATAAACATTTTATATGCTGCTTGTGTAGAAACATATGCTGATCCTGCAGTCCCTTCCTCGCAGTGAGGAGGTGAAGGCACTTATCTCCTTGCGTTTCCCAAAAGGTTCAATGTTAATATCTAGTTACAGAACTGAGCCATATGTTTTCCCACCAATTCCGTCCAAATGTTTCTGATTTGTTTTATCGCTATTAGGTGACATTCCAAATATCAGTGCTAACTGCTTCCTTCTGTGGTTTAGCACCATGAGAAAATTACAGCTCGTTCCCTAGTCAAAATGTCTAGCATTTGCAGCAAACATGTATTTTTAATTAAGCGTTTTCCTAAGAAAATACGTTTCTCTCGAAGAAAGAGGAGGAATATTTGAATGCTATTGCCACACTGTCAGACTTTATTTCAGCTGTGAAATACTTAGATATCAAAAGTGGAGATTTGCATTAGCGTCCTGAATATATTTTCTCATTTGATTAGCATGTTGAATTCATGGTGAAGGTAGTAGGCATTGGTAGTTATAAGCCTATTGTGGAAGGACTCCTAAAAACCAGCTGTTCTCCTCTGTTGCAAGGAAAGATTAGGACTGTTGAAATCACCCTTTATTCATGCTTTCTAAAAGAATGATTTCATTTGTAGTATTTAGCTCAATTCACCAAAAGGATATGACGGTCATCTTAGGCTGGAAGCCCACAAGAGGTTGTGGTGACTAGGCACAATAAATGCTGGTGTATTGTATGTAAATTTTAACCAGGTAAGATATTTAAAAAAAAAATAATTATTTGAGACTCTTGTAAAAATAAATGAATTGCATGAATTGCAGAAATCCAAGTCAACTGGGGGAAGATTTAATGTTTTACTATTTTTCAGTTACATTCCAGCATATACAGGCACTAAAGTGGAGCCTCAGTTCTTTAAGAGAGTTATGGAACTTTTTGACTGAATTGCCTCACTGGGTGATTATGTAAAGATTCACACCTACAGGATGAAAGATGTGAAACTTGGGTATGTTATGTTCTAACCGTGTAACTCTACCCAGCTGCATACAGAAGCAACATTTCGTCTCTCCAGCCACGGAGTGCATTTTGTATGTTTTGTATGTTTGTGTTTTTATGTCATATGTTCACTATCACTATAAGCAATTGGATTCAGGATACTGCAAATGTAAATAAAGACATGTCTGATATCCTAGTAGCTCCCAATCCTATGTCATTAAAATGTGTAGAAACACAAATTATTCTCAGGATGTGGTCCCAAGCAGAAAGTAACAGTTTGTTTTGTTGGAACCATAACCAAGAATATAATTGTGTTCAGTGCTGTTAGACTGTTACATCCTGGCAAAATCCTGGAACTCTCCAGCTCCTCCACTGAAATCCACTCAGCAAGCAAAGTTCTGCCTTTAAAAAACTGGTTATATGATTGAGAATCTCCCTTGGGCTGGATGCATGCCGGTGACTGTCATTTATCACTGCCTCTGGGTGGTGTTGGCACAGTGACACCATTCCTTGCATGGGCAACTTCCACAGCTCTGTATGAAGCTTATCGTTGGTAGAGAAGCTGTAGCAATCAAGCTGTGATTTTTAAGAAATGTTATGTGACTGGATTCAAATTAGAAAAGCGTTAGGGTAAGTTTCTACTTCCCAGCCTGACGTGACTAGCCTTGCTGAAGTAAATGGGACTAGCTGTGTGATTCCTTCAGCTGGACTGGTAGTATAGAGGAGCAATAGCTCTTGGTAAGTAAATCCCGATTTAATTTCTGAGCCATCCGTGAGTATAGCTGTCTTGTTACCATAGTTCAAGGTGTAAAATATGAAAGCTGTTCTACATCCAGGTTTTGAAGCGTTTTGATTCTAGCTTATTTTTGCTCTAGGAGAATCGTGGCTTAGGATTCAGGTTAGTCTGTGTTCAATGTGCCATAGCTGAAATCAAAACAGATCCAATTCACATATTCGCTTGAGCTCTCAGACTTGCAAGAATTTGTAAGGAATAGACTGCTAGGACATTTTAAAAGTTGTAGATACAGTGTTTATATTTTTTAATTTAGAATGGGAGGATTCTTCTGCATTTCAAATTTTTTTTGGTATTAAATCATATTAAAACATTTAATGCCTATTAGGATCGTGAAAATACGAAATAAAAAAGAGCTAGAATGTCTAATTTGCTTATTTTTTATTTTTAAGATGGAGTTTGGAAAAGTTTGCCCGTATGAAAAATACTAAGCTTGATTTCTTTTAATTTGTTTGTATTCTTCTTTTATATTTCATTGTGTCATGGTTTGTCTGCATGTTGAAGCCATCTGAAGGTGTCTACATTGATGAACATGACTACAGAGAAGGTATACAAAGAGAAACTTGACAAAAATATTATAGGAATGGCAGAAACGGTACAAGGAAAATCCTCATTCTGTAATTTGAGCAAAGAGTGCACAGTTTGTGTAGAAGTAGTTCTTATTCCTGTTGTAAAATTTGTTCCAGCTATATTCTTAAAACTTTGTTAGGAAAAAATAGAGAAATGTAGTGGTGTTTGAAGATAACCAAAGCCTGTAATTTTCAGGAAGGAGTTTGACCCTGAAAGTATAGAGAGGAACACACACAAAGTTTGGAGCAGTTAAGGGTTTTCTGGAAATCAGAGAAAAGTATGTACGACCGTTTCCGGCATGTGAAAATTGATCTGGAAGTTCAAAGTTTGCGTTTCAGTAATGTGGTGGTGGTGAGAGAGGTTGTAATGACTCTCAAAACCACTTCAAAACACTAGAGCATCTAGCTAATCCTGCCGCTCCTCTGACTCTGGCAGCTCGCTGGAAGGAAAGAAATCAAACTCAAATTACCTACATGAGATGTGGTTCAATACTTTAGATAAGGCAGAAGGAAAAGGAAGTTCCTGGGTGGCCAGGATGTTGTCCTTCCCAACGGTGCCCTCTACATTGCACTCCTCTATTTAAGCTTTAAAGGACTTGACCTTGGGGATGTCTTTATGTTTCATTTGTAAACAGGATTCAGCAGATGTTTGGGTGAAAACTGTAAAAGACATGATGAGCATGTGCAGTCTACAGCTGTTTCATATATAGTGTTGCGAAGGTAAAAAAAGTACTGGAAATAGTCTGAGTTTACGTGCTTAAGTTGGAATCTGAAAAGCTGACAACCATAGCAAACCACTGCACTTACAAGCAGATAATAGACAGTTACAGCCTCGCCTGCCCCTGCCTTCCTATGAAGATTCACAGGAGAAGGGAATCCGGGGAGGCTTATTGGAATACTACTCTTTGGCCCAAAAATAGTTGCAAAAAATCTGACGCTGTCTCTAGTCAAAGTAACTTCCTCCTTAAATGAGAAGTCATAGGTAAAGTAACAATGCAAAAGAACACAGAGTATTTCCTGAGTGCAAAAAGTAGACTGTTGTGGCAGAATTGGCAAAGATATGGTTGGAAAAGAAACAAATTCATCATTAGTAGTTAACACTTTAACACCCACTCCCCACCCCCCCACCCCCAAGCTGGCTAAGCAGCTTACCACAAATGGGCAGCAAATGGCTATCAGATGTGGGACGTTATATTAAAATTATGTCTCTGAAGTTGAAAGATACTGAATAAAAAACCACAGAATTATTTCAGCAATTATTTGCATGCGTGGCCAGAGAATCTTTGAAAGGTAACAGTTAAATTCTTATTCTGTGACTTCCAACAGAAACTGTTTCACAGTCAGTGTTAAGATTTAACTCTCTCTGTTTAGTAGCTGATTACTGATTATTTTTAAACACTAAGGAATTTTGTGTATTGATACAAGACAATCGTGCAGTTGATTTTTGTGTGATAGCATGGCTGCTTCTGGCCCATTCTGTACTGTATTTTCTCTGTCCCAAAATACACTCCCTATGAGTCCAGCCAGGCGATGAGTGAAATCTGTTGCAGGGCTCCTGTTGAGTCCTTTGCTGCTGCCCTGTATTCATTCTGCTGGTATTACGACTTTAGGGACACCTCAGCTGTCAAGTGAGCCTGTTGTTCATTAATGGATGCGAACTGTTCTAATCTGAAATAATCTTAAGAAAAAATGATTTGCAAGTGCCATAAGGAGGTTAGTAGTATGATACTAGTTTTATTCAGAGAAAGGAATTCACATGAGCAATTGGGAAGCTTTTTTGTTTCTCTGTGTTCCTAGTATACCAATTTAGAGGGCTCAGGTTGGCAAATCCCTGTTTTACTTATTTTCCTCATCTCTCAGCCCGAAATGAGCTGTACCTTAAATTGATTTACATTTTATAAAACAGCACAGCCTCTGCTTATGGTCTGGTGGGATACCATAGTGTCTGACTGCAGTCGAACATGCAGTATGTGTACTGGAGGGAAGTTACGGAAGAATGGTTAAAGAAAGTTGCACAACCAGAATCAGTTTGCCATTTATTAACTTTTGAGTGATTAATCGGGGAAACTTAAGATTGTACATACATAATGTGTGCATAGGTTTGTCTGCAAGACCCTCTTGAACTTAACTAGTGAAGCAGGAAGGAGTTGATGCCTTCGTTGGTTGTAGCCTTTCATCTGACTCCTTCTTTCATGTCCTTATCTAACTCACGCTTTCAGTGTTTTGTCCTTTCCTGGAATATTCTTCCTAGCTTTGACTGCTCTGTACATATGGATTCCGAGGAATGGTTTAAGTGGAGACTGTGGAAAGAAAAGTGGGACAAAGCAGGCAGAAACATTTTTTTGATGCCCAGAAGAGTTGCTTCCAGAGCAGCCCTGTGGGTGGGTTTGCAATGAAAAGCAGTTAGGGGAAAAAAGTTTTGAATTTATAGGGTAATACACTGGTGGTCACTGTTACTCTCAGCAGTGTCTGATGAGCTGAGCTTTCACTTCCCACAGCATGTTACCCCTCTACACGTTTTTGCTCACAATCATATTTTGCTCTCCTTGACATGACTGTGTTGAGTGTAGGTAACTTTAAAACCTAGACAGGACCGTTTGTTCGTTTGATGTTTGAAGCAGAAAATGAATCATAGATGAAAGTAATAGATTTTCGTTTAAAAATAAGCCCTGTTTTAATTTAGCTTTAATGTAAATAGCAGATTAGGTTACAGATCATTTAAAATGCTTTCTGTTTTGGCAGATACCGAACGAGTTTCAGACCTCGGTACACAATTGCATATAAGACAGTAACAGAGCTGGAATGGAGATGTTGTCCTGGGTACAAAGGGGAAGACTGCAGAGAAGGCCCAGCAGAAAAGCCAAACACTGCTCGTCGTCCCACAACGCCAGCAAAAGCTATTGTGAAGAAAGGCTTGGGTAACTTTTTGTTTGAATTTTGGTATGCATGATCACGTCTGGTTTCTTGCTTTGTCTTTTAAGTATAAGAACCCTTACGGTTTCTATTTAACTCAACTACTGGCAGGTACAAAAGCCATATGGAAGACACTGGTGGGAAAATAATAGCCAGGCAATAACAGTCTTGATACAGAGAATTTCCTGAAGAATAACGAAGGGTGGCTCTAGACACCGGCCATATATATGCCAGCAGCTACTCATGGTTCAGGAAAATCTTTGTGTTAAGGTTGGAGGTTTTGTAAGAATTTAGAGGAGCTTTTTGTGCTTTCTCCAGTGTTCAGAAAAAAAAAAAAAGATTATTTGAGAGGAACTACTATTATAACAAAAAATAACAGGTACTAATTTTAATGATACATAATGTTCCCTAACAGTTTCACAGTGTTTTGTTTGTTCAAGGGCTTGTGCAGATTTCACAGATTCATGTTAAATTACCTGCCTTAATACTAAGGGGATGATAAGCCTCAGTTTCTGAAAAAACACCTTAAAGAATGAAGGATGTTTGTGTAAGATACTGTCTTCTGAAGGGGTAAGAAGGAATGCTGTTACTGCAGTATTATGCCTTTTCTACATTAACAAAAAATGATAAACAGATGTTTCCTTCTGCCTTTTTCCCAGCAACATTGGAGATCAGTGTCACATACAGTGCTTGGTCAGATTTCCACTTGTGTTTTTTGTATAGTGGAATGGATTGGGACTGAATACGTGGTTTCAAACCAGTCCTGTAGATTATACACCTGCTTTAAAAACAAACATTTTAAGTGTTTTGTTAGCCCACCTAAAATATTATTTCCAAAAGATGATAACTAAACACGGCGATATCTTTAAGAAACTTGCACACTACTTAGGTCTAGAGATTTCCTTCCTGCTCTGACCCCAAAAGAACTGTGATTCAATGCAAAAATAGGCCAGTGTGTATGTAATAGCTACACTCTGCATGTGAATACTTTTTTATTATTAAAGGAATCTGCCACCCTGACAGTCTTGAAGAGTATGTTTGTGACTTCCTACGTTCCCACTTTAGACACATAAATTATTTCCACTTAAGTTTTCAATGGGAATTCAGGAGCAGCACCTCACAAATTACTGTTATAGGAGATGCAGTGGCTCTAAGGTGATTGTGTTGTGATGTGTAAGGGTCTATAATGGTCTATTATATATGCTATAGCTTAGATTCATTGCTGAACAAGAAGGGGGGGTCTGCTTGCTAATTTATTTATTTATTGCCATTGTATCGTGGCAGTAATTGGTCAGTGTGCTAAAACTTCTAGTTTGAAGTGTTTTGATAATGTTTTAATTATAAGCTACTGAAAACAAGACTAGAAAAGGGAACAAGCATTATGCAATTTAAATCATTGTTTGCCTTTAAAGAAAAGTGAAATTAGCCTCAGCTGATTAAAAGAGATACCACCGTGAATACTTAAATCCAGACTTTGTCTGTTATTTCCATGAAATAGATGCAGAACCAACAGAAGTGCCGGAACCTCCACCATATGAGAAAAAAATGCAGTTTCTTGAGGATGAAATGTTTAGACTTACACGATCAGTGCTTGAACTTCAGTCCTCCGTGGCAGGTGTGAATGAAAACCTGAAGCTGACTGTCCAAGAAGATGCTAGTAAGATGTTGGTCACTTGGCTGAACAATCTTTATGACCGCCCAGAGCCTGATAGTGCGGTTGGTGGTGAAACAGACACTATTCATCTGCCTGGACTCCTCAGCAATAAAGATCAAAAAGACCCTTTTATTGATTTTGAAATGGAAGATATAAAGTCTGAGCTAGCTGAGGTGAAAGAAGCCTTGAAGATGAAGAATGACAAGCTGGAGGAACTGAATGGAAAAGTAAAAGGCTACGAAGGACAATTAAAACAACTGCAGGAGGCAGCACGAGGACCTACAATAACAATGCCCAGTGACAATATATATCAGGAGTATATAGACTCAAAATTTGAGTCCCTCAGACAGGAAATACTGGAAGGATTTGAAAAGAAAATGGCAGATCTGAAGAACTCCTGTGAATACAAACTACAGGATATCCAGCAGCAGTGTGACGACAATGAAAATAACTGTTTAGGAATAATTGATGTTATAAAAGGAAAAGAGAGTGACTTGAGGAAAGAAATAAATACTCTCCGAACTCAGATTCCATCAAACAAGTCCAGTTGTTGCAAGGAGGGTGAGAGGAATGACTTTGACCGACAGATAAAAAATTTAGATAGGAAGATTGACAGAGTTGCGGAAGCCCACAGGATCTTGAACGTCAGAATAGATAATGAAATCAGTCGCTTGTCAACTCCAGATCTAGAAGACATCCTTGGTGAGAGGTTGGAGGAGCTAGATGCAAGGATGAATGTTACGGAACGAAATGCTGAAGAACATTGCTTTTACGTTGAGGAGACTCTCCGCGGTGCTATAGCTGCTGAGGTAGATGAATTGAGAGACTTGTTTGATCAAAAGTTGCGGGCACTAGAAGATAGGCTGGGTGGCACTATTCTAGAGATTGCTAATACCACAGACCCGGATGGAATGTATGTTAATCCTGGGCCCATCTTGCCCAGCGATGCAGGATTTGCAAATGAGCAATTTACAGCAGAGATTAATTTCCTGAAGAACAAACTACTGTCACTTGAACATCTCTGTGGGCAGAAATGTCAGTCTGCACCACATGGTACGGAGGACCTGCAGAAAGAGCTAGAAAATTGTAACAACAAATACAATCATGTGCTTTTGAAAACAGAGAATAATGCTGTTCTCCTGCAGTCTCTAAATAGCTCTCTTAATGAGAAACTCAGCTTAATTAAGGGTAACCAACGTGACATCCAGAAAATGCAAAGAGACATACGTGTGTTCCGGTATAGTCTAAATGTCATGGATAAAGATATGAAAAATCTTCAGGATGGCTTGAGTAGCTGCAAGGAGCAGCTTCTGGGTGTCAATTCTACCTGTAGAAAAACACAACGAGGCGTCTTCCGAAAGATCGATCAAATGCAGAGGACATTTGCAAATCAAACTGCTCATCCCAGCGATAACTGCTGTGGTGAAGTGAAAGAGAGACTGGAACAATTGAACGACCATGTCCTGAATGATCTTAGCAAGTGCAAAGAAAAGACCCAGGGTATCCAGGAAGGTGTTTCGGATGTTGAGAGCAGAGTCTCACGTGTTGAAAAAGTCTGCGGCAAGCTGGACTCTGTCTCAGGTAGCTTGCAGAAGATAAAAGAAGGTCTGAATAAGCACGTGAGCAGCTTATGGAACTGCATCCGTGACATGAATGGAACTATAGCATCTCATTCCGCTGATATTTCTGGCCTCAAAAATTCTGTCCAACAGTTTTATAGTCAGGTCTCCAAAATCACCACAGACATTGAAGGCGTGCTGAAATCTCAGTTTGACACAAGTAAGTTTTTTTCTTTTTTTAATGCTTTTTATGTTTGTTTTTCAACTGGCTTTCTTTTCTTGAGTCATTTATAAAGGAACTAAACAAGGAAGGAAAAATTTAATATTACACAATTTCTACTTTGTTTTTACAGTGACTCTAGTTTTGGCTTTTTGCTCTAGAATGCCACAGAGGACTTGAGTGCTTTTAAAAGTATTCTAAAAAAAAAAAAAAAAAGTTTTGTATGCTTTCATGTTTACCAGTTTGAGCCAGAATAAAGAGAGTGGGAAAACTGAATTTTTGGATAGTGAGTTTAAAGTGAGTTTTAAGTAATTATTTTCTGTGGGTATTATTCCAGTGCATTTTATTTGATTGTTTTGTTTTGTTTTGTTGTGTGAGATTATTCTTGATTCCTCAGGGGAAATTGAAAAGTAAATGGAGAACACCGAAGTCAAAGGAATTTAAATTTATGATAAGAAAGATTCCCTGCAAGTTTTGTTCTTGGCATGAGTTAATGATTATAATTCAGCACGAACTCTTTGATTTAGGACTTTCACAAACAAGCTCTGGCATATCTTGCTATGGCAATAGAAGACTTGTGCTTCGTAACTCTCCCATAAGTTCGCATTCCCACAACGTAGCTGGCAAGTTGGCAGTAGGTGCACACCCCAGCTGGCAGTGTTTTCACGCCTCAACCACTTACTTCTGTTAGTAGTCCAACATGCCAGCTCAAATCTACCTCCTCAAGATGCTTTAAAGTTGGCATTAGAGTGGCCAAGAGGCAGAGGCATGTTGCCTTTGGCTCAAAATGCTGTGAAATGGTTACCTCAACACGTTGGTGAACCTTGCCGTGAAGGTTTAGGCTTTGCTAAATGCCACTCAGTTCCCTTTGCAGTTTCAGCAATGGGTTGTTCTTCTGAGAGAGTCAAAGTTTACAGAAGGAAGCTGAGTTCCCGTTTCTTTTAGCGTGATGCAAAAGCATAGGAATCCGAGGCTGTTTTGAAACTGCACTCTTCAGTTGGTTGATGCTTCTGGTTTTAATTCTGTGCACGTATGAGATAAATGAGGGGCCGATTTCTGTGACTGGCCTTAAATCAGAAGAAGTGGTGCTGAGGGAAGAGCCTGTGGGCTGTTGCAGCTGATGGTGGTTGGGGGAGATCAGATGCAGGACCGTGAGCGCTCTTGCTTGAATGGACAAGTTGTGCTTCATGAAGGGTCTGAAAGTAATTTCTTTAGGGAAGAATATCCTTTTCATCAGTGGAGACTTGAAAGCCTGTGACAGATATGTTTCTTTTGAGTGTTTAATTGTTTAAAACCAAATGTGTTGCAGTACTTGACACAGAAATCGATCTGAGGTGGGAAGCTCTTGTGTGAAATAAAAAAAAACCAAAAAACATTTATCTTCCTTTAAAGGAAGCAGTGAAGGGGAATGGAGGGGGTCCCTAATTCTCAGATAATTTTTTTTGTGAAATCTTGACTTAAATTCAGCAGGGTTGTCTGCAGAAGCAGACCCAGTCCCCATAAAAATGCAGCATGATGTATTTATGTAATCCTATTTCTCATCCATCTTGCCCAAAATAAATTTGCACTAGGGACCAACATTGGAGAAAGATCCAAGATACACACAGTAATCTTTCTTCTGCTGTTCAAAGCAGGTGTTCGAGTGGCCTCATGCATTGTATTCATCAGCCCCTATTACAATGTTGTAAAGCATTAAAAAGCCTCAGCACCCCCGGGTTTCCATAAAATAACGCCGTTTCAGGGCAGAGCTCTCCACCGTTGGGTGTTAAGAGGCAATGGAAGGACGTCGCTGCCGGATCTGGGGTGCAGACACTCTGAGCATCCCTCGCTGCCGTGAGGTGCCTCTGGCGGATTCGTGAAGCACACACTTTGGTCCCCAAGTGTTTCCAATTACAATAACACTGTCTGGCACAGCAGTCCAAGTAAGCTTTGGTGGCTGGAGCTGCAGAAAGATTTTGGCAAAAGAGCCGTCTTTGGAAGTAGTTTGGGAGCCCTGTTACGTGAGTTGGGGTATGGCTTTTAACTATTTTTACGTCCGTGAGCTGCAGCGCCGTCTCCGGTACCGACGTTATTTGAAAGGAAGACTGTTAGTCCTGGCCGTAGATCGGTGTAGAATTACTTCTGCGCTATTTGCCAGCGTATCGTAGCATTCAAATGATGTCATTTGTCTTCAGAAGGGCCGAAACAGAAACAAGTTGTTACTAATAACAGTTGTTGAGGGCAGTAAGGCAAGGATATGTTGCAAGAAATACAATATAAAATCTTACCAAGCAGTGTAAGCCCAGCACACTGTAACCCTGAGCAAAGTCAGATGACCCTGATCATAGGAATATGGCTGAGTTTTCTTCCAGTTTTTCTACTAAGGGGTTTCAAGTGCCTCAGTCCAAACTAATAAGCCACGTTAGTGAATGACTGTACGTCAGATACGGACCCGGAGGCCAGAAATGTATTTAATCTTTATAATTTGTGGTGAAGGTTAGTGTGGTGCCGTGCCGCACACAAGGTGGCGGTGGCGGCAGGCAGTGCTCTGCTCTGGGCACGTAGGGGACCCCGCACGATGTGCTCACCAAGGTAATACCATGCAGCAGCTCTTCGTCCAGGTGAAATGGTGACTGCCCCCAGCTCCGCGTCTCATAGGATTAAGTTGTTCTCATTGCACTCTGTGCCTCTCTGCGGGTAGGTTTGCTCTTCAAAGGGCACGAAACTGCAAGCCGTGTCCAAGTTAGTGGTCTCTTTTAACTTACTGCCTGTTCATATAGATTCATGACGTTCTCCAGGAATCATAAGTGTGGTCTTGCAGCCAGATACCGTGCTGGGAGTGCAGTTTGCTTTGGTTACCGTTACTTGACCTGAACTGCAATTCCTCTGGCAATGGTGTCTGTAGCAGGGTTTTGAAAGCAACAGCAAAATGCTGTCTGCTGAAGTTACGGTTGTAGAAACCAAGCGTATGCTCTGCATTACAGCATCGATAAAGGGCAACATAAAATCTTAGTATTGTGGTGCGAACGGTCATATAGTCGATTCCTCTGGGCTCCCTGTGAGCTTGTACAAAATGGTACTTTGTAACTTAATTGTCAAATCCCTTTGGTATCTATAAGAAAATTCAAGTCAGGTCTTTTTTGCTTCTTGTGAGTGCAGTCAGAGATTCATTTACTCGTTTGTTTGTTTTACGCCCTTTGTTTCTGTGTGTTTTGGGGGCTGAGGAGAGCATGGTCGGGCCAGAATGATACCAGAAACCAGTGCACCCCGTGCATCCAGGTCGCTGCTCATCTTCCTTCCCAGCAAATCATTCCTCCTTCAGTGAAGTAAATTTGCAGGTTAAAGCTGCCTGGCTAAACAAACTGAATAAGAGAAAGTCTTTTTAAGAGGGGGAGGGGAACAAAAGCATTCTTACTTTCAACCAAGGAAGGAAACCTTTCCTCCTGTTTCACTTGGGGACGGGCATCTGAGAGCAGAAGCTGTGGTGTGACACGGTAACCGAGTTGTCACTTACACCAGTGATGACAACTGGAGCAGTAAGGACGCCGCTGCTGAGGACAGTGCTACTGTTTTTAGCTGTGTAATGATCTCAGCTCTGCTCTTTGCCTTCCCAGATAGATGGGAAGATGATGGGGAAGAGTTCTGTTTTGTCCACTGCTCAGTAAAGCTTAAGCAGTACCAGCTCAATTCACCCCAGCCTTCGTCAGGGGTTCATTTTCTCATTGCCTTGTGAATTGAAAACACTTGTTTTGGAATTCAGCATCAGGGATAGGGTGGCTCCAGTGTTTCCATCTTTATCTGGTGGTTTGTTGGTACTTTGTCTTGCTGTGATGCGTCTTGGTAGCAGCAGCCAAATAGGTTGGCAAAGATGGCAGACCAGATCCTTCTCAACCCACACATACGTGATTAACTGGCACTTTTAAGTTGAGCTTTAGGCAGGTAATTTTGGATTTAAGTTTATGGAGAGGTGGTTGGGTAATTCTGAATATTGCAGTATTGATGTTGCACGCAAGGAAGCAGTTGGCAGAGGATACGGGATTTGAGCTGTTGATTGTTATTGAAAGGTTTAGAAAAGCAAGCAGAGAAATGTATTCATTTTCCCTGTGTCAGCCCAAGTTTTTGTCTTCATAAAGCTCGGCTTAATTGACTAGAGAAATGACAAGTACGTGCATCCCAAGGTAAAGTATTTTGTCAGTTTGTGTTTGGAATGAGGTTAATCTGAAGATCTTTGTTGAAGGTCTAACTCTATACCACTGTGGACAGAAGATGTCTCACTAAGTTAACAACTCTGGTTAAACAATTCACTTGGATACTTTGAGCCTTTTTTTGAAAATTTTAATAAGATTTTTTTAATCCAGGGATTTTTATGAAGATAATTTTAATCTTTATGAAGTGAACATTTCACTCCTTAGTTCTCTGCCTTGTAGATAAGGGTTACCAGGCGAGCTTCAGTCCAGCTTCGTGGTGCGTTGCTTGTGTAAGTTTCAATTCCCATGACAGTTAAAAGTCAGCTGGCAAAGCCCAGGAAGATTTTTTTTCTAAGCAGGTGTATCTAGCAAGTGAACACAGGTAGTGCGAGACTGTGACTTCAGACGGCCTCTCAGTACTCTGGAAGGCTGATGTGGGCTTTTTATGAGACTGAAAACAAGAAACGAGATTGAGAAGGGTAAAGTGCAGGTGTCGAGCAGTCACGAAACGGCACGTGGGTTGCCAGCGACACCGTCTGGGCCCCAGACGTGCGTCATGGACAGCACCTGTATGACTTGGTTGTAAGCTCTTGCCCAGAAGCGCAGCGTACGGCCCTCCTGGGGGTCCCCAGCTGTGCAGCAGAACCAGGGGAAGCCTCACACCACAACTGCGTCTAGGCACAGCCATTCAGTTTAGCCCCAGCCACCAATGAATACGCCCAGGTTGATTTTGGACTGTGATGAATTGAAGTGCTTCGTTCTGACCACTGAGACCTGAGAGTGGTGGTCCCCACTGTGGACCATGGCAAGCACTTCTGGTGTGATGGGTTGCATCAGATAAATTTGCAATGGGACGTTTGTCCATTTCCCCAGAAACTTGCTTCCATCCCTGCACCTGAAGCCATGCTTTAGTCTCAAAATGCAACCAGAATAGCCAATGGTAATGTTTAATTTAGAGTGAAATTCTAATTATTCTCTGTAAAAGCTGTCATTGCATCTGCTGAAATCTACATATTTGTAAATTCCTATTCTTAATGTAGTTGCTACAAAAATGATCCAAGGGCTGGAGCACCTCTGCTGTGAGGACAGGGTGAGGGAGTTGGGCTTGTTCAGCTTGGAGAAGAGAAGGCTGCGGGGAGACCTGACTGTGGCCTTTCGGTACTTAAAAGGGGCCTATAGGAAAGATGGGGAAAATCTTTTTAGTAGGGCCAGCTGTGACAGGACAAGGGGTAATGGTTTTAAACTAAACCAGGGTAGGTTTAGACTAGATATAAGGAAGAAATTCTTTACAATGAGGGTGGTGAAACACTGGCACAGGTTGCCCAGTGAGGTGGTGGAGGCCCCATCCCTGGAAACATTCAAGGCCAGGTTGGATGGGGCTCTGAGCAACCTGATCTAGTTAGCGGTGTCCCTGCTCCTGCAGGGGGGTTGGACTAGATGACCTCTAGGGGTCCCTTCCAACCCAAAACATTCTGTGATTCTGTGTAATTCGACTTCATTCTTGGGAGGACATTGCATCCTTAAATGTCATCTAGGACTTCACTTTTATGAATAAGCTGTAATTCCTATAAAGGAATACCAGATACAGAAATGAAACCATGTCAGCGCTGTTCAACCCTGATGTCATATGTGTTGGCTGCCCTACTGGAAAAGTCTTTTAATGGTATCTCTTCTCTTTAAACAATAAAGGCTTTTCTGGTAGATTATATCCTGGGGTGCTGCCTTCGTTGTCAGAAAATATTAGTAATGGGAGTACTTGGAATTTTGAATTCATTGCTTTTCAAAGTACGGAAAGAAATCTGTAAGCCGGCGTTCATTTACTCAGTTTTTTTGCTGTGGATACTTTTTATTTATGGTAGTGCTAAAGGGTCATCCTTGTGCTAGGTGTTGTGTGAGTACCAGGTCGATGGGTGGGAGGGGTTTAGGAGAACTGAAGCGAAGGTAGAGAGAGCCGGCAATGGAGGTGAAGGCACCGGTGGGAATAGGTGCGGTACACAGCCAGCTTGGTGCAGAAAGTCAAAGCTGGACTAGTGGGTGGATGCTCACAGGTTATTTGCTGCTTGTCCTGTCTCCAGGCTGTCTTCATTCCTTTCCCTGCATCACAGGCTGCGAAGGAGGGGAGCCTGTACTACTGCAAGAGTGCAATGGAGTTTTGCCAGTGCGGTCTTGGAAAAGGTGGCCTCAAACTGAGTCCTGTTTCGTTTTGAAGTATTTTTTTAATAAAAACATCCAATTTTATATACTATTTTAAGCAAATAATTTTGTATCTTTTGTCTTCTTTCATCATTTCAAAGGGCGACCAGAAGTACCACGGCAGCCGTTGCCACCAAGACCACCCCTGCAGCCCCAGCCTGGCATATCCCTGCTGCCATCACAGCCAAGGATACAACCCCCACAACAGAGGACCCCCCTCCAGCCGCTGCAGCCGAGACCTCCTCTGCGCCCAGCACTGCCAGGGTCAGGAGCTGTGCCCTTTTTGCCTGGAACAACTGGGATCATCCTGGAGACTGGAGAGGCAGGGCCTCCTGGCACTGTTTTAATGTCAGGAAGAGGGCGGCTTAGAAGTGTGGATGGTCAGGCTGGTCAAAGTACCATGCCCATTGCTGAAGGGTACGCTGGAGCACCAGGTGAGAGAACCAAATGAACAGTGGATCGCTGCTGTTTAATGGGCAATGGGCATGCCAGGTCTTGCTAGAGGGGTGACACTGAGATCTGTTGTGCTTTACCAGCCACCTTTCAGCCTTTCATGGATGCCCATTGTAGCTGTCGCTGCTGGGAACGGGCTTACGGCAGAGATGATTTGTGAACAGGCTTTTGCAGCTTCCAGCTGGCTACAGAAGTAGGGGAAACGCAGTCAGTGCCAGTTTTGTTGCCTTTGCCAAGGCTGCACAAAGCGTGAGGTCAACAGGGCTGATGGAAAATCCTTGGTAACTACAGCAGTCTTTGCCACTAGGGAAGCTCAAATAATTTTTTTTTCTTGCCATAGTGCTTGCAGTGGATTTAGTACATTGTAGTAAGAATTTTCTTTGCCATGACCACCCCAGTTTAACAATAATTGAGCATTTCGTAGGAGGTGCTATTTGGCAGCTATTTTGGTAGGTTGCTGTTTGCTAAGAAAGGATGCTTTTTAGAAGGCTGCAGTGATAATGTAGTCATAATATATTCCATTATGTACTGTGTCACACATACTACTTTTCCTTTGTAGGATATCCGAAGTTGTCTCCTCCTGCCACAGACTCACAAGGTAAGGCAGTTGTTTCCTAGAAATCCTTTACACAGGTGCATAATGTTTCTTTTGGTCCCTGGAAATTCATGGTTGAGAGAACAGCGTGTTGATTTTTAGTATTTAAGTTTAGCATTGAGGAAAATCTGATGAATTTTTGCTATACTTAAGCAATAAAATGTAGTATGCATCCTTTGAAAATACAGGGGTTTTGAGGTGTTGAAAAATAATTAATTTTGGTTATTGTTACTTATGTCAGTGGTTTTTTTTTAAAATACAGAGGATTTCTATTTCCTAGCAATTTTTTTTCCTTTTTAAATGAGAAAATACATACTTCTTTCTGACAATTTTAGTATTTCTTTAGCAAGATATGAATAAGGCCAAGACTAAGATCTTGAAGCAGTGTTAGTACCTGAGCTAATGCATGAGTTGGTCCTCCTTGTGGGAGTTTCTGGCTTTGTTAGAATCACGAGGGCTCGTGTTCCTGACTTCAGTGACAGCCGGAGCACTGCCACTGACAACCACAGTTTAAAAAGATTCAAAATGCAGTTTTCTTGGTTTGGTGGGGTTTTTTTATTTTTTATAGTTCAGTTCATGTATGGATTTGTATGATAAACAGGTATAAATCTTCTGTGGGACCTGCTAGTTGGCCTTGATAAATACATCGATTGGGTGCTGCCTGCCCTACAACCTTATACTCAAGATATTATCAAACCCTGGCGGATGGTATCCTGGATCATAGTGAATATTCCCACACCCTCTTCAAAAAGAGTGATTTCATCTAAATTTGTTTGAGGAAGTATGAGAAATAGATTAAAATAAAACATGAGGGCTTTATGGCGTCCAAAATCCTACCCTTGGGACTTAGTTTGACGGCCCTAACAAAATCACAGATACACGTCCTGAATACTGGTCTGGGGACTCACAAAAAAGGCTTGTAAAGAGTTCACACTGTAGTTCGGATATTTATACTTTCTAATTAAAAATCTGTCATAGCCTTAAAGCAGTCTTTTTGCATTTGAGGATTGTGGCGCTAAGAGCAATCAGCAATAGATGAGGCTTCTGGAAGAGGATAAGAAGTAAAGAAACATTAATTTATCTTGATGCCAGCAAAGCCAACATAGATGTCTAGATTTCTGTGATAAATGGTTTTCCTGAGGGGTTTTTTCCACTTTGTACAATCTATTGCCACTTATAGACAGCAGTATTTTAATAAGTGTATGCTAAAACTGTGTGAAACAGTAGGTGGATGTTAAAAGTGTTGGAAAGGCAGGGTGTGGCAGGCAGTGCGCCTGCTCACTGCTTGGTGGAACGTGTTGCAAGAGATGTTATCACCCTGGGATCCAGAGGGAGGTGGGCTTGACCAAGGAGTTCCTTTTCCTGATACGTGCCCCTAAAGACCTATCTAAATATAAAATGTACCTGCTGATCTGTCCTACAACTTCGCCCCAAATGCCTTGCAAACCCCAATGGCAGGAACAGTCATAGAAAACCGAGAGGTAAGGACGGTGCAAATAGCTACTGGACTTCTGTGGAGTTAGGGCATTTACATCCGCTGTGCCTAATTGTCAGTGTCTGCTTATAAACAGCAAAGAAAGAGAATGCTCTGGGGCAGAATTCAGCAGTTAACCATGTTGTGGTAATTAACAGCTGGGGAAGGGAAGATTTTTGCCTTATTGGAGGAGGAACTTAATGCTTAAATAAAGCATCAGGGAATCCTTAATACGCAGTTCATACAGGACTGCAGCACATGATGTCTTTGCCAGTCTTCACCCAGTACATTTTGTGGTCCTGAAATTAAAATTTGAAAGAAGATCAGCCGTTCTTGCACTATAATTGCTAAAATAAGAAGCTCGTACTATTAAACTGGCCTTATGAGTATCC